AAGTCTAAAATTTGTGATTTGGATTAATTTGGGGCAGAGCTTCCGAGATGAAGTTTTTTTTTTTTTTTTTAAGGAAGATTTTATACAATTCTCTGTTTTTATTTCAATTTTAACAATCATATATACTTAATAGACTTTTTTTTTTGACAAATTCAGTGTTTTCTTTTCCGTAATGCTTTGTCACTGTTATATTAGGTCTTTGTTTTTTTTTAAACTGCTGACCAGAGAGTGAAGACTGAGTGAATGTAGCTTGTGTTCAGGTCTTCACTGTGCTCTTGTGATTTTTTTTCAGTTCATATCTTCAAGGACTGGTATGTGGATTTGGTGGCAGCTTGTAGTGTAGTTGCAAATTGCAACTCACTCACTCTGCCTTCCCTTTTCGAAGCGTGTTAGAGAAACATGGCAGTTCAACATGGCAGCATCCATGGAAGGCGACCTGCAGCGTCTGTAGATAAAAATAGCTAATTTTAAGGTACTGAAAACAAAATATTTCTTATTTTCTGGTGATTATACACTAATGAAAACACAGTTCTGAATATTTTTTCTGCCAATGGATCCTCCTAAATGTTACACACTGAACCTTTAAATTATAATCTAAACTTTAAAGTAGCAACTTCAATTAAATTCTTAGATACAGGCCAATTGTATTTATTTCTTTAATAAGTTTTCTTATTAATAAGAATGCCTGGAGCCCTCCCATGAAGCATAGGGGCCTAGGCTGAAGGTCTGGACCACTGCTTCATCCATAGGGATGCTCTTCATGAACGCTAATACAGCTAACTTTCTTCTCTCCACAAGGTGGAGTCTTAAGACTAGATGTAGATGATCTCTGTCACTGGAGCTGAATTCTTTTGAGGTTATTTTGTTTTGTAACCAGAGGATGAAGCTTCAGGAATAATCATTTATTTAACTTACATTTTATTCATTGTATGCAAACTGAACATGTTATTTCTTTCTAATAGGAGCTATTTGTATAAAATTATTAGCCTCAGCCTTTTGTGCATCCTTCAGTTCTCACTGACACTTTGTGATTATGAGCCTTCAGCCTCACTGTCATTATTAAATTACTTTAATGAGTGGGGTGGAATGAAATGAAGATTGCCTTGCAAATTACAGCTATTTTATGTATTTATCAATTATCAAAGACATATTTTGCTGACAGTAATGTCTGAAGAATCGTGTGATAATCAGCACGAAGAACTGGGGCTCCAGCACAGTAACAATAGATTCAGCGGATCATGGTGTCTTAACAAGAAACATAAACATAAAAGTGACACGATTAATGGTCTTTTTTGCTCTGCCATCGAGCAACGTGACTTTCTTACTGTTTTGTTGAAATTATGAAATTTGCCAACACATACATAGCCTTCACACACACACACACACACACACACACACACACACACACACAGACTAAGAATATCTGATTCAATGAATAACTGTCAACAACTTGACTGTGTGTAGTCATTCATACTGTTACCCCACATTAATGTCAACAATCTCTTCTGTTATCTTTTCTGTTGCTTGTATTGTGCTGGCCTTCAGGACCAGGAACCTTTAGGATGGTTATTATCACAGCAGTATGTTTGTTGATGTTAGAGAAGGCGAGGTATTCACACAGAGGGTACTGGGGACAGGCAGGGACACAGGTCAGGACCTGGTTCATTTTTCACAGTTTCTTTGTCATCAATGTACATAGGAAGTTTTTTTTCTGTCTGGAAAACCCTTTAAATATTTCACATTTCACTTAATACTTTCGTAATTTCACTTTCAAACTTTCACTTTCACGTAATATTTAAGTAATTGTCAAAGTTGTTTGAGAAAATGACTGTAGCTACATTTTGTGTAAACTATGCAGCATTTGTACTTTATATTTCTATATACTATAAAATTGTACTGCCCACCAACACATTGGCCTGTATAGCATTTTAATATTGCACGTTGTATATTCATACTTTGAATCTTTGTATTTTTATGTGAAGATTAACTATATTTTCATCACTATCTTGTTGCTGCTGTTTACATTCCTCCAGACACAAATTAAAATACACTGCAGAATTTATTTCCTGTGTGTATATATATGTATGCATATATGTATATAAATAACTTTATGCAATGATTTATTCTATATGTTATTCTACTATTAATTTAATTATAATTTTCTATGTATGTATATCATGGAGGGACTGTAATGTTTTTTTCATTATACAATCATGTTTTGTATAATTAAAAATATAAAATAAAATAAAATAATAAAATACATTTCCTTGATCCCTGTCCCTTATTATTCTTACTATCATTCTTGTTATTTAGTGCACATTAGCCTTGAAGCAAAGCCTCAATAGTGTGCCAACCTGACCTTGAGAACACTCAATTGATCGATCTGTTCCATTCCTGCAACAGAACATCTGAATTCTAACATCTCTGAACATTCAGCTCAATATTTCAGCACCTCAAACATACACTGCTGACTAACTCCTACAATACCTCTCTAGCTTCAAATCCTAACAACTATTACAAGAACACTGCATCTACATATCTGTTGACTGCATTTACCCACTGTAGAAATGGCAAAGGTGAGGTTTATTTGGATATTGTTGGTTCCAACTCATTGACAATATAGGTTCACACTTGTTACAACTATATGAAATTAGTAATTTGAAGGTCAGAAGACTTCTTGACTGAGCTAAATGTGGTTGAAAAGTGAAAGTATTTAGGTGTTTTACATAATCATTATCTTGTTTTTTTGTTTTGTTCCAATGACTGTATTTCAATGTGAAGCAAATATTAACTACATAAAGAGGTGACAATTAACTATACAGCACAAATACTTTGTTACTAAATTACTTTTGTATATTTACTTTACTGACACATTTTTACTTTTACCCCCTACATTTTTACACCATTATCTGTACTTTCTACTCCTTACATTTTCACAACAGGCTCGTTACTTTAGTTTGAATGCATTTGAGGGGTATTATCAATATGTATATTTTTGTCATCATAGCACATTTTCAATGCATCGTCTGTCATGCATTGGTCTGCATAATTGGACGCTTTACATGATCAAAACAGTGACTCGATCCTATTAGAAGTTAGCTTTGCACAGAAACAGTAGACAAGTCCTTCAGAGACACTTAGAGATTTCCTTTTCCTTTTATACTTATAAATATATATACATTTCAGAGTCTGTAATTGATTTGCTTCTACTTGAGTAAAGAAGTTGAATCAGTACTTCTACTTCTACTTGAGTAAAGAATGTGTTTTGCAACCTCTGGCTACATACTCATATATTTCTAATGAAAGGCCCGAAAATGTAACATTTGAGCATTCAGCTTTCACCATCAGTATGCTGAAGAGGTGTCAGTCTTAAATATCAGTTAGAGCTGGACTGCAGGCACCTTTAAAGCTACAGGAGGTGAATGTTTGAAACTCAAAAAATAGATTTTTGTCTGCACTGTATCTTCATTTTCTCTGACAACATTTGGAGGATGATTTTATAAATAAACTTCACTTTCAATACTTTGCAGCTGCTGTATGTACGCAGGAAACCAGGGGATGATTCCCGGCTCATTCTCTCTGAGAGGCCACCAATAATTCTTCACCTGGGTGCCAAACTGAAGGCTGCTCGTCTTGACCTGCGTTCTTCAAAGGCTGTCCCCAAAGCTGGAGACTTTGAGTGGGAATCCTTCCTCTATGAGGCTCCCAGTGACCCCACTGGTCTGAGACTGATCCTGAAGAGGGTTTCTGGTACTCACTCAACTCAGGTGGCTTCCTCATGTCCCAGTCTGCCTCAGCAGGCTGCCTGCTGTGTGCCATACACTGCAGACAGAGCAAATCCAGGGCTTAGAGACAGTCCTGTCACACAGACAGAAAACAAGACCAGCACACCAAACTGGGATCACTGGATCTGTGCATTTGTTGGTCCTAAAATCCTCTCAAATAACAAGAAAAATGAGAAGGAGGATGTCAAACCATGGGACAGGGCTTCTTGCAGCAGCTGCAAGAGAGCAGCCAGTGACACGATGAATTTGTTTGTATTTGTGAATCCATCCAAACGCTTCTCCAGTGAAAGCTAAGATGAACTTTATCAGTGAAAATAAATACTTAATTTCACACAGAATGTCTGTTTCATGATAATACTGACAGTAAATACACATATCCTGAAGTATTAAACTCAAGATTTATATTAAGTATTGTTGCTAGTTAAATTTTAGACAAGAACACAGTAAAGATATTCCTCATAAATTGACCGTATGGCTCATCTTCCTTTTGAATTCCATTCATAAATCTAATACCGTGTCTCATTCATGTATGTCTTTAAGTGACATTTAGACATAAAGTTGGAGTAAATTATCAAAAAATACAAGTAGGTGAACTGTGAGACTTAAATAAAAGAGTGTAAAGTGTTAAAATACACCAACCTGCAATTCTGCACTAAATTAATTACACTGTGCCATCCTTCAGAGCAACATGACCTCATTACTAGTTTAGTAAAATGAGTGCAGGTTGCCAAGACATGTCACCCTCTTTTTAGAAACACTACGGTCGTGTTTCTGACTCACTAGATAACTACAGACACCCACACTGCCTGCCTGCAACCATTCATAAAGCTTGATTCACACATACACACTATACACAATAGGTGGCAATAACAGCAGGCAGTGGCAGCTCTGTTATCTCTTCCAGTGGTTGAGCCGTGTGTGCGAGGATCACACTGTGTGTCTTGCTGTGTTTGTGGACAGCAGATGTATAATGGTGAGTAAACAGGGCTCTCGCCTTTGCCAGCAGGTGTTGGGTCAGATGCCAAGTGATGGGCAACATGTTAGGAAGGAGCTGTTTGCACTGCCGCGGCTGGCCTTTCTCAGATAACAAATGAATTATCTTCAAACCTGTGTGCATTTCTTATATAGCCTGACGTGTGTGTGCTATTGTGTGTGGTTTTTTTTTATGGTTTTGTTTCTGTCGTTTTTTGTTGAAATAACTGACCAAATAACTGATTAATACGAGTTCAGCTTTATTTATAAAACATACAGTACAATGTCTGCAGTAACATAATAATAATAATAATGGCACTACAACATGAAATACACATTCACTATTTTGTTCCTGGGTTTCCATCTTGACACAGATCTTGACTCACTCACTGCAGCTGATGCAAGCAATTAAAAAGTAACATTATTACACTTCTGTCAAAGTGTGTGAATAAACTGTTCACCAGGTTTACACAGGACCAGCTCTCATGAGTCAGAGAAGCTCGGCTCGACATACTCTTCTTCTTTCCCCGACATATAAGGTGACAACCACAGTCCATCCATAGGGTGTGGCTGCAGGATAATCTAACTTAACTGGATGTTTAATACAACGATAAGTACACAAACAGGCACTTGGATTAAGGTGTCATCTCCTGTTCCTGTTCTGGGAATGTAATGTGCATAATGGGGACTGAGCAATGAATATTCAACATAACACGGTGAATAAGCTACTATCAGGTTTTGCACGACACATTTCTACCCTGTAATCAGCAAAACAATTACACACTCAAACATCCAGGTTGCAGAGGAAAGTCCTTGCTACGTAGAGGAAGTGTTCTGAGCCGCCTCCTTGCTGCCAGAGATCAAGGTGGGGTTATCTCCAATGTCAGACATCTCTGATATGTGAAGCTCAGCGGCTCCATCCTGACACGCTGTAGGTGGAGCGTTGTCTCCCCCGTGGCTGGAGCTGGACTTGTGAGAGGAGGTGGGGGAGTTGGTGGGGCTGAGCTGAACGGCCGTGGTGTCCTGCAGTGTGTGCTCGCTCGTCTCCATCTCAAACGCAGCCGTCCCCATCCGCATCAGCCCCCACTTCTCACCACCTTTAGCCTTGTGGGTCATGTGGGCCGGGGGCCTCCTGCTGACCACACAGCAGGCTGTGAAAAAGGCCAGGGCTATCATTAAGAGAAGAGGCCCGATGATGATGGGTGGGTTAGCACTAGGGAGGAAGGTGCCAAAGGCGAAAGCTCCCACAAGGGTGATGTTGATACCGGCCAGCATGATGCACAGGCCGCAGGCGCAGCACAGGGCTGGGGAGGGCAGGCTCTGGTGCCGCAGGGCGCGCTGCTTGGGGACCTTCTTGGGAGCAGATGGTCTGGAGGTTTTTTCAGGTAGCGCCATGTCTCATGGAGAGCCCTGTGAGACCCGGAGGAGCTGACGAACAGATGACTGACTGATCACTGAACTCATCACTTCAGAGAGTGATGAAGTGGCTGAAAAGAGAGAGAGCGAGAGAGAGCGAGAGAGAGAGAGAGAGAGAGAGAGAGAGAGAGAGAGCAAATGTGGGTTTAGAGGTTTTAAATACTTTAAATGTTTCTGGATTTGGATTTTTTTAAAACTTTTTTTAAAAGATTTCTAAAATGTTATTAATTTCCTCAAAATATTTCCTCATCAGTTACACCCACTGAGAAATGTTTTCACGCACAAACAGCAATAAATGACGCAAAACACTGAATGCATGTGGCCAAAAGTGCAGCTATTACTAATAACAAGAAAAGAATAAGCGACTCTAAAAACACAAAAGCACATTTTCCGACTTGCACAGACAATTTGCACAGGGAAGAAAACCTGAGAACAAGCCCACAGAGACATTATTATCTACCATTCTCAGTGTCACTTACCTCAGATCAGACCAAGAGCCCAGTCTGGTGTTCGTCCGTCCATCATGTAGTGCAGGAGTCGAGGACGCTGGAGGTGATCTGTCCCTCCGGCAGGTGAGCAGCACAGTGAACTGCTGCTCTCACACAGCTCAGTATATTCATTAATGAAGATGGACCGCTGGGGGCGCCAGAGGGCTCAGAAACAAACGGTCCAATCACATCAGGAGCAATAAAGTGAAGTCTTTCCATGTGTCCGCTGGACAAATCAACACTGAGAAATCTCTGAGGGGTCAGTAGAAAGACAAAGACACAGGAGAGGTGGGTTGCTCTTTAAATACAATTTTAAATTATTATAAAAGTAGATCTGAAGGCTCTATTTGCAAAAAAAAACTATGTTTTTGATGCACTCAAGGGAATATTAATCACACTGGTGGCTTTATGGTTTTACATATGAACTCTTTATGTGTTGTAAGTCTTAGAAAGAATCAGGTTATCAGTAGCTAAGTGCTGGACATACTTCTCTGCTTTAAAAGAAGTCTGAACACAAGGACACAGCGTCTGTCCAAACCATCTTCCTTTTTCTTCACCATCTTTTCAGCATTAACCCAGTACAACAGAGCCCTTGCTGAATGAAACCACATTTACTTCGATAGAAAAGAATATATATATATGTTTATAGACTCCTGAATGACCTTGCATGTATAAGGAATACAGTGTTTAAATGATGTAACACAACAGACAAGAGATGTTAAGGATCTTTTTATTGAGAACACAGCATACCAATGAAAATATACTCTACACAGAGCATTATGCATAGGATCCCATAAGAGTTTGTGACAATGGGACTCCTTAATGGCACACCAATTACTGTATCTCATTAGATGCAATTACTAGTTGATGGGGGGAAACAAGTCCTTTATGATTCATAATGCAGTGAGTGGGCTTTAACATAGCAAGTGGATGTTTCTCTGTATATTCCTGCCAGCCTATGAAGGCCCTTAGTTGCTATAGGGATGGGGTGCCCATGGCAACAGTGTGAAATCTGGGGACATGTCAACAAGCAACATATGAAGTTAGCTGGTGAGGTGAAATAGAAGTGATAAGACTGTCATCAGTGACTTCTTTAAAACATAAACGGGATCCTCAACGAAGGAAACAAAAATTAAAAAATCTAAATATTTCTTCTTCAAAAAAAAGGATCTGAAGTAATTATCAGCAACTTGGTGAACTAAAGAAAATCAATCCATTATTCTTTCCATTGGCAAATTCAGAACCAAAAATAGAAAACTGAACAACATACAAATACTTGTATAAAAATAATTCCCCTCAACATCAGTATGGAATCCTCCAGTTTACTACAAAGTTTAACTATCACCTATTCACAAACCCCTTTTAAGTCTCAATAACTACATACAACCAAAACAAGTCATTAGTCAGACTAAAAACACTCCGAGATATCAAGTAAGACGATAAGAAACTAAGCAAGTCTTTTTGGGAAGGCGTACATTTGTACAGTACAAAACGTGCAAAGACGTGGTGCAAAAAAAGAGCCTGAAGTAATGTTGGACTCTAATGAGGATAAAAAGTTATTAAAACCAACCCCTTCAATAAAAATATCACTGTAGGTGTCAAATCCACATTGTTGGCCCAAACTCATCAGTAATGATGTAATATTCTCCCTTTCAGATAAACTAAATAAGTGACTTCTTTTAAAGTATATCAGTGCTACAGGTAGCTTGTGTTGAAGTAAATGATAAGAAATACAAAAAAAAAGGGTCTTCTGTAACTTCAAAATCCATTCACATCCCTGCACTCTCTCTAAGTTCTATGGAGCCTCCACAAGAATGACTAATAAGTAAAATATGGACACTCTCCTATAAGTGTAGTCTATTCTTACACACACACACACACACACACACACATCAAATCACATACACTGACATGCTTATTAAAGCAAAAAATATGAGATAACTCATCCCATTCCTCTGGTGACTGAGAAGCAATAAGTAGCATTTCAATAGAATGAACAAATTCACAGCTGGACAACAAGAAACATTAAATCTATTAAAATGAGAGAATATTGCATTAGGACAGAAACTGTACTGAACCTATGTAATGCTGTGTTGATAATGATATGTACTGATTTGCTGTTTACTATAAACTGCTGGCATTAAGAGTTGTTTCTGCTGTACTGGGGTCATCGTAAATGTCATCAACACTGAATAGAAAATAAATAAATCCGTAAAAATAAATCCAAACATTTTCTCAAACTAAGGCAGCTTAAAACAATTCCTGGACAAATCTCAGGAGTTTCAACTATGTTTTCAATTAGGTGGCAGCCGAGGATTAACTGTTCCCTTGGTGCTCAAACTCTGTCTAGGTGATAAGATTACTGGCCATGGGAAAGAGCCTTAACTCCAAGAACAGAACAGTCACTACTTTTGATACTGTGATCCTACAAAGCTGCCTGTGAAAACAAAACACACACACACACACAAGGTGCAGGTAGAGAGCTTAAAATCAGTCATAAAAAAAAATGACGGGGACTTGGTACTGGTCCCTTCAGGCTGCGAGGTTGTCCGATGCAGGTGCGAAGTCCCCGGTGCGCAGAGCGTTGGACTGTGCCCGTCTGCGGGCCAGCCTGGAGTTGGAAGGAGGAGAAAGCCTCATGGAGCAAACGATGGCTCCGACATCCTCCTGCTGCTCGTCGTGCTGGGATAGCTGCCGGTTAAAGGCGATGGCTTCTGCTGCAAACTGGGTCAGGTCTTTGGTGCTGCTGTTCCTGAAAGAAGAGAAGAGGTAGAAGGAGAGTTGGGAGACAGCTTCTTTTCATTCTTTCCCATGTGTTCTTCCCGCCTACCATCCTGTCAAAAAAGTGTCTATTGCTTTAATCTGAATGTACTTCATCTGTAGAGCATAAAATACTACAATTTTGTTTAAAAATCCATTAGACGTGACTTTCTAAGCAGACATACCTCTGTAGAACATGAGGCGTTGGAAGACCTCTCTCTGGGGCATTCTGTAAAAGAAGAAAATTAATAATTGACTTAAAAACACAGGTTTTAATAAATTAAAAAAAGCATTAGGAGAGTGATACAGTGGTCTTGTATCAGACAATAGTAGAGTACCACGTTCAAAACAGCTATTCTGGTGCCCAGATGTAATAACCTACCCCCTGCACCCATGGGTGCTTGAGGACCTGAGCAGCACTAAGGCGCAGAGTTGCGTCCCGAACCAGCAGCTTGGATATGAGATCCCTGGCCCCCTCTGTGATGTGAGCCCAGTCCTTCTCTGGAAATTCATACTTGCCCTGCTGGATGCTTTCAAACAGGTGACTCTGAGGAAAGAACATTACACAATATCCTTTAAACCTGAAGCAGAATGAAAACACTCTCTTTGGACCAGCATTAGAGTGCCTGTATGTGAGTGTTTAAAGCAGTCAGGACGAAAGAAGAAATCTAGATATCTGGTGATAACTACATGATGCTCCTCTGATAGTGTAATTATGGATGATTAGGAGTGACAGGTGAAATGAGCGAGCGCAGAGGCTGATTGGATGAGCATACCTGGCAGGTTCTGCAGGTTTCTCCGCGGTCCCAGCCGCAGTCGGTGCCACAGTGGCCTGTGAAGGGGGGGCTGCCGCTCAGCAGGATGTAGAGGATGACCCCAAGACTCCAAAGGTCACAGCGCTTGTCGTAGAACGAGGCCTCATCGGTGAACACCTCCACTACTTCTGGAGCCATGTACTCTGCTGAGCCACACTAAGAGAGGGCACAAATAAAATTAAAACAAAGAAGTGTTATACAAAAGATTGATTATGTGTTTGTGTGTGTATTTGCTTTGAATTCAAACCAGACTGTTACCGGTGTGGTGAGCTCTGGAGTCGTTATGGGCGTACAGGCACTGCTGAGCTTCACTCCACTTCCCAAGTCAAAATCGCAGATCTTAACTGGGGACACCTGAGTGGAAAGATGAAGGAAAGACATTATATTGTTATAGTCTATACCTCTAGGAACAACTAAAGTTCTTCTGAAAGCTTCCTGTCCTTTAAAAGTCACTTACCCGATCAGTGTATTCACAAAGGATGTTCTCTAGCTTAAGGTCTCTGTGGGCAATGCCTGCAGAAAAGCACATTGCCACCATTAAAATCCACAGCTATTCTATTTGGACATTGGTTGCTGTTTGGAGGCTGACCAACCTTTTGTGTGTAGGAAGTCAAGAGCTTGGGCAATGTCCCTGACAACCTTACTGGCCTCAAGCTCATCGAAGTGCTTTCGGTTCTGAATGTGTGTAAGAATGGAGCCTGAAGGAAGAGAAGACAATCACATGCAGCAATCAGAACTTGTTTACAGTGAGTCGTCTGGAAGAGCTAAGTGTATGCAGATGTGATTGTTGTTGTTATTCATTTATTCTTACCTCCACGCAGTTTTTCAAATACCAAATAAAAGCAGGCGCTGTCTTCAAAGAATTGAATTAATTCCAAAATGTTCCTGCAACAAAATATTTCCCAATAATTAGAATCTGTTTCAGTCTGTTTTGATTTTAATTTAGTGAAAGACTTTTCTCATCCAAAATGCACTAACCTGTTTCCTTGACACTGGTAGAGAGTCTCCACTTCTCTGAACACTCTGCTGCGACTGTGCCCGGCGCTCTTTTCTATGATCTTTGTAAAACAAAAACACTATTAGCTGCCTGAATAAAAACTGAAACATTTTGTTTGTTATCACACAAGCTAGCATTGGATTGTGTATTATTCTGTTCTGTGCTTATCAGTTTAACTTAACAACGTATTGTGTAATATATTGTGTAATGTATTGTGTAATGTATTGCTGTAGAAGAGCAAGTGAGCTCAACCAACCTACAAAAATGTAAATTCTTTTCACTCTGTACTGTTGTCTGTCTACAAATGTTATTGTTTATACAAATATATATATATATATATATATATATATATAAAAATATATATATATATATAACTATATATATATATATATATATATATATATATATATATATATATATTTATATACAACTTTTATAAAACAGCATCCAGCAAGCTTCAAATCTTACTTTACTGCATTTTATAGGGTGCTGCCAACAAAACATCCGTACTCACCTTCACAGCAAACTCCTGTCCATTCTGCAGACTTATGCATCCTTGAACTTTAGCATAAGCCCCCTGACCCAGCACCTCGTCTGTCAATTTGTAGAGATCTGAAAAAAATGTGACATGTGAGACTGCAGTTTGTGTTTGTGTTATCTTTTGATTTTTATACTGTACAATATGCCTCACAATAATATCAGCTTTATTACCATCAAAAGTGCCTGTGGAGCTGTCAGTTGCTCTCGTTCTTTTCTTCTTCTTTCTTTTAGCTGCATCTGGGATGTTCACTGGCTGGCTTTTCTCCATTTCTGTAGCAACACAGAAGAATCCAAATGCAAGCAAATTAGTTAAACAGTACAGACTCTGCCCGTGTGTCACTGTGTGCACCATAAGATTTAGTAGCCCCAGAGCTATTCTGAATAATACAGCCGTTGTACCTGCTGGGCCCTGGGAAAGGTGCTGTCTGTCCTCTGAAGCAACACCATTCTCCTCCGTTCCCCTGCAGCTCTGCCCCACTTGGCCTACAGCCAGGGAGTTACCCTGTAATAGAGAGAAGGGCCACATGGGAGGGGAGAGAGGGAGGGAAAATACGAGAGTAGCCAGAAAGATCAGGTGGTGTACAGTAGAGAAAGGACATGAAGAAGTACATGATTCTCCCACTTTATTAAGTGTTAAATGGCGAGACATTTCCCCCTAACTTTCACTTATTTAACCATCTCTGTACACTAACACATACAGGTCATAAAACTCTCTTTTACAAAAAATGACTGACTGTAATCATATGGTCATATAACAATATATACACAAGCTTCCTGATTATCTTCCCCTGTGGCAACCTGCCAGAACAGTGGGCTGATGAGACTACAGGAAACAACCCCAAAGGCCTGATCTCACCCTGGATATTACCAGAGTCATTTACACAATCAGTCATAATGCATGACTCATGGAGACTGATGAAAACTTCTACATTTCTGTGCAGATAACCTTGACAGTCTGTGGACTACTTTCCAGCAGCTTGAGCTTATCACGCATATCATGTTTCAGGCCCCAGTATTGAGAACAGTTCACATCCTACCTGGAAAGAGTGCTGGAAGGCTTGCAGCTCTGTCATCATGCTGTGCCTCACCATATCTGCCAACTGAGGGTACAACACAAATATTGAGTTAGTCTGGAACGAACTGCAGCAGCAAATGCACAAATATAGTCGAGAACCAGTCAATTCAAAGTGGCAAGTGACAAACACAAGTCCTTTAAATCACACTGTTTTAATTTGACGTGTACCAGAAATAGTTCCCTCCTTCTTTGACTCTCTAGTGTTTGTTTCGGTTACTAAGTGACTGGACTTCAGCTAGCGTTATACCCGCTGACAGTGATGGCAGATATTTAGCTCGCTGTTGTTATTGTTATGAAACTTGCTGGTTAGCAAGTGTGTACCGACTGCCAGTGCTGCGGCTAACAATAGCCACGTCGTTGCTTAACATGAGCACCGTTGCTACACAAATCTGGGCACCTTTAGCAAGAGGGAACAATGTATACAGGAATAAGCAGAACATTAGAAAAGCGTTAACTGCTGATTGTGAAACCCGACGTAATGTTAATGCCGTTAGCACCAGCTAGTTAGCTTGTCCTACCGATTAACGTCCATTCACTAGTTTGTAGCGAACGGACGCTCGGGTGCCGTTAAAACAATTAATATAAATGCAATAAACACTTCTAACCTGGACTCTCTGCGTCCCAAACCAGCCAAATCCCCCTCTGTCAAAGCCTCTGACAGCTGATGTAAGCGTCCATTGCTAGCTGAGATCCATCAGTCAGACGGCTAGTGACGCACAGGGCGGGAAAACACATCAACAGACGTTGGCCCCGCCCACTTCTGCATACCGACTCCTCCCATTGGTCGAGAACGCGGTTACCGCTGCTACGTCACTTGGCTCGACTCCCCGCCACGCCCCACTCCACGTAGTGGGGATTTTTTGTGCATGATGGTGACGTTTATTTACATGTATTTCAGAGGTTTGGCAGGTCAGCACTGCCGAGAGGAAGTACGGCTAATGTCACATATCTACTATACTTCATCATGATACGTGTTTAGATTATTAGAACACTACTTTTATCTGGTGAAATTTCTCTTTGGGTGGTATTCATCTTGTTAATATGCTGTTTTCTTCACAGTGTTTATTCTGATAATCAAAACAGAAAAGTCATGAGCCAAGTACTACATATTTTTGTGTTGCAGTACAAAACTTAAAATAAAAAACACTGATCATTTCGAGGCTGCGTTTTTATATTCAAACTATAAAAAAACACTGACATCAAATTAAAAAACAAACTTCCGTTCAGCAAAATAGGACTCAATGGTAAATAAAAAGGTCAAACATAAACATACATGCACAGGAGGAAAGAAAAAGCACATGAGTACAGGAGTGTATTATACACAAATACAAAGTCCTATAATATGGCATCAAGCACCATAATTATTGAAAGTAAAAACCTCTGTGAAGGCACAGTGCCACCATCTGAAGAAGTGTGGTAAATTAGCAGGCCTTCCCAGTTATGCTTAGAGGACCACTCATTCAACTTTATGTAAAAATTGTTCTTTGTTCTGAGTGTTTTGAAGCCGCCGATTTCTCACGGGGCTCAGTTATCGTCAAAATGTAAACTCCTTTGTCCATGTGGTTTTGTTTAATTGCATATCTTCTCTGTCATCTCTTTCTGTAGGAAAAGAAAACAAAGGACATGTTTAACACATCAAATTCATATCGTATGTGGAATGAATGATTGTTATGAAGAGCGATTGTTACAATATGAAGAACATTAAAAGTTGTTCTTATGAGACCAGCAACAAAAAGAATTGCCTTGGGTACTAAAGGTGGGGTGATAAAACAGGGTCTTTTAGATGTATCTTTTCTGTGTTATGTTGACATAAATGCCTCAGCCCAGTTTCACTTTGTAAGGGGAATTACAGCCTCTGGGCTAATGTAATGATGATAACTGAATCTTTTTATTGACACTTGGAGCACCATTCTGCATCTGCTTATATGTGATGGAGGTCCCTTTGTTGGAAAAAATCAACATCTATACAAACTCTGCCTCTTTACATGATTGCATGAAATCAGCAACTTCTCTTATGAGGGTTGGGTTGCTTCAAACCAAACCATTTTCTATAAAGCAGTTAACAAGTTTCTTTCATGACGGAAAATTGGCGGGGAAAGTGAATGCTGATTCCATTCCTAGTGTCAAATGGAAAAATGTTATTATCTGCAGGAGAACACAGTTGATGTGTTTTATGCCCACAGTAAAGCTGAGTAATTACGTAGTCTGTGTGGCTTCAGGAGACACAAATGGCTGATATTTAATTTGTACTGCATGTGTACTAGCTGGGAAAACATGAAGCTAGAACTCAACCTCACCCAGCATACTGCACAACAAGGTTACAGATGGCAGCGTGGGTGATATTTTCTGCTATACTGACAGTTATGAGAGTGATACTGACGACCCTCCCGAAACGTAACATCTGATCCTCTTTCTCCTGCTCCCTGTCGTCACCCTCACACATCTGAAGTCACTCTATTGTCTCACCAGGGGTTCCAGTTCAGAGTGATCAATGAGGTTGAACTCTGATATGAAGTAGTAGTAGTGCTTGTAACAGGTGTTGATGTGGGCCTCTGCACCCATGCTGCAGATGCTGTCAAAGTGATGGATGTAAACATGCACAAACACCCTGAAGAGACGGCTCAGGATCTTCTTGCACACCTGCTGGAAGTTCTTGGGGAAAGGTACACCTAGTATGAAGAAAGTAGACAAGTGTTAGAGAAATTAAGAGACTCACACCTGATGAATTGTTTGATTAGTCCTGAGACAAAAATGAAATCCTTTAAGATAACTGAAACCTATCATTTAGCAGATTCAGTATTCTTGAAGTAATATTATTTCTCCTCAACAGAGTCAATCTTTGAGTCGCAGACAGTGTTTGATGAAATGTGATTTGCATGGAGAATGTAGGTCAGTGACGAGAAGTAATTCCAAGAACAAAACCTCTTACATTGACGCTTTTAGTCAGTATATGACATAATAAAACTGAATAGATCTATCGCCAGTTGCAGGATCACTATGTCTTTTATGGATAAATGTGTCAGGAAGTCACCAAAGCCACTGTGTTTTCTCAGCAGTGAGAAATAAAACAACTCCTTGAAGCTATCCCATCTATTGAATGGGGGCACATTAATGAGGGGTGCTTGAGCCCTTCTGAGAGGACTGTGGGGAAACCCCAGACAGATGAGTTTGGGAACCACAAGTCTTATTATCACTATATACATCAATGTATGGCCTTGTAGTCCTGCTCAGGGCCAAGGGGATTTGTGCATATATTAAGCAAAAGGTAGGGACAAATGATCAATCTTTCACAGGCTAGCAAATACACAAAACCCATTTATGCCTATGGGAAATTCACCTGCATGTGGGGACCATTTTGGTTTCACTGCTAACTGCTGAGCCACCCTTAGCCCACTCCTGCATTATGCATGCACCTCTAATAAATGTTGATTGTCAAATCTGGTGCTGAGATAAAATAGCAACACAGTCAATCTCCTCTAAATGTCAGCCTTATTGTTTAATTAACCTCTGCTTGAACTTTATCATCCCATTTGAGATGTTAATGAAGGGGAACAGCCCTGCACTCAAGGCTGACACTTCGGCATTGATAAAGCACAACATCAGTGCAGAAAGCAGTCAATCATGTATTAGGTTACACACTCAATAATAGTCTGACGACTTCATTTGTAGACTCCTCACACACCTACTCTGGTGGGGAAGATGTCTTCATTATTGATGAGTGACTCTATCCAGTCCATCAGCAGGTTCATGTACTTGAGAGCGGGCAGCTTGGTGGGTTTCTTGTAGTCGTCGCCGTCCTGCCACCTGTACTCGTACCTCAGCCCCCCCGACATGATGGGACACGTGCGCTCCGTGCAGAACTCGCTCATCGTGCCATAGATTAAGTTGATCCTGTTGAAGAAATCCACCACATGAACAGCAATCCAATCGTTGATGTTCTCCCCCTCTGGCAGCTGAACCACTTTCCTCAAGTCCAAGCCAGACTTTAGCGAGGCCTGGGCCTTCTTGTAGAGTTCAAAGCGCTGGGTGCCCGGTTCAAACCGCTTCCTTGGCCTGAATGTTTTGTCTTTGCTGAACACTTGTCCAAGACACAACGCCATTGACTCAGTCGTTTCCCCTGAGATAAGGGGAGAATAAGCTCTCCAGAATAATAATTAGTTTTGCGTTGGATAAAGCGTGACCTTCCTGAGAGACAGAACCAGGATGGTTTCAGCTCGGAAGACAGGTCACAGGAGGTCAGTGTCTGTCGTGTCAAGATTGCAGGGAGCTCTTGTTTTTAAATGGCGGGACGTTTCTGTGAAGCAGAACAACAAGAGGAGTTAGAGGGTTAGGGTTATCCCTTTCCTGTCAATCCACTGCTTTAGGCCAGAATGACCAAAAATTGCATATGCCCAAAAAAATCTAAGTTATAAGTACAAAACCATACATATCATTGTCAGATCATTTACAAAGAGAAAAAACAACCCAAAGTAGAGAGGCATGACATCAAATTTCACAACTCAAACATTTTCAAAAACTGGATCATTAAAATGACTCATGTAGGCCTAAGTACACACTGCACAGAAAACTCTACATGTTTCCTCCAACTATAGACAAACCAGTGAGTTCATCCCGAATGTGCCATTACTGCCTCCACTGCTCTGTGGGACCCAAATGACCTTATCACAAGACATCCAGTAGCACCCACTGATATAAATAGCAGCAGTTTCAGTTGGTTGTGGTAAAATTCAGGCCACTAGAGTCAAGCATAATTGAGAAAATGAATGGCATGCTGCGACTCACTAAACATTGAACAATTCTAGAGAGTGTTGTGAGAGAGAATGTCCACAGTACAGCGCTCACTTTGCTCAGATACAGCATTATGACTCTCATTCCAAACATTGGGGTTTAAAAGTAGATGCTATGACCACCAAGTTTGGTGTAAAAATACTGAACATGAAAACTGATGAAACCCATAGACTGTCAGTTCCCCTTCTGGGAAATGAGTCTAGGGATATGAAACACAACCAGTACATTATTGGCAGATGATGGTTTTCCCCTGATAGCTATTAACCATCTGGCAGATAATACACACTGATCAGGAGCATGACCTCACTGATTGGTTATAATAATAAAACATAAATGAATTAGCATTTGAATATTAACTGAGTAGGTAATAGGAAAATAAGGTGGGCAGTTATTTAGAAATAAAGTTTAGGTACATCACATATTGAAAGGTTTACACTTGATTGTGTGTTACACTCTGCTGAGATGTGTGTTTCTGTTCAGTACATTGGAAGACTATAGCATATGTCACTTCCACAGATTTGACACAGTCATATTCAAGTGACCGTGGTTGCAACATGATACTATATCCGCATTTGTGTCCCATTTTGTGCTGCCGGTCTCAACGTTTCCTGTGGTAGTTTCTGTGTGACTTAAATTAGCAGAAGTTTCTGCCTCTGCATTTATCATATGTTCACACTTTATAGACCAATCACTGATACGGGGTGTTTGTTGTGAACTTTTGTTGACTGAATACCTCATTTCTACAGACTCCTCACATGACTGCTTAGAATTTGAGGAAACAGTGGTGATTTAACAGCATTTGATATATGAGAAGGGTACTTTTTCTTTCCACTAGTACTCACAGTCTGCCTGATCTCATTTCAAAACTCACCACTGGGGAACCATGAATACGTGGTCATGAGATGAGCTCTGAATGTGTCCATAACAAAAGAGCTACAGAGGAAGGCTTATAGCGTTTCATTCAATGCTCAGTTCAGGGAGACATAGTTTCAGCCACACATTAACCTGGACACTCTTATTTACTGAAGACAGTAATGACTTGGACAGAAATTGGGCATGGACTGGCTTTATTTTTTCATCACTTTACGTCTCACTGCATGCCTCAACAGCTTCGAATGAAGCATGTCTGATCACGCACTGTTGGCATACTTTCACGGTTGTTATGGAATTTGCCTCTGGGTCTGCAGACCTACAAAAGTCCTCTCCAGACTCGACACATACATGAGAAAGAAAAAAAAGACAGCACTGCAAGTCGCAGTAACCAGAAACAAAGGAAGAGTCCAAGTGAGATCAAAACAAGAGATTACAGAATGGGGGAAAAAAGCTGTCTGCACTGTACCTGGCTGAAATCCTGCAGCGGAGGGTCTGGAATGTGTTGGAAAGTCGTGGGAAGTTCAGGGAAGATTTCAAGCGCCAGACGCTTTGACTTTAAACTCCCTGTAGAGGACAGTTGCTCTGCCCTCCTCTATCTCCTCTGGATCCTATCCCTCTCTGCCGGCCACTAACAGACCAAGAGGCTCCAACTTCACTCAGCAGCACAGACAACACAGTAAAGAGAGAAAAAGTTGTTTGGCTTCTCTTCCTGTGGGTGATGTCACTTCCTGACTTTGTCTACTGGGCTCTGCTGTCTATGTGTGTGTGTGTGTCTGTGCTTGTATGTGGGTGTGTGTATGGAGGACCTATAAATTGAAAGAGTAGAAGGGCTGGAAAAGGCCTTTCCAAACCCCCACTCAGCCCTCCCTCTTTTCCATTATTTTTTCTCTCCTCTCATCCTGTAGGCAGAGCAGTCAGCCCACTTTGTCCCTCCAAAGCCCAGCCCTCTGGTAAAGGTCCTGAGAAAACAACCCGTCCTCTTCAGCCACATATAGGACAGAGGGAGCAGAATGATCCCACAAACATTTCTGGATGTTTGGCAGTCCATGTGAAGTCTCAATAACATATCATTTAAATTCTTGGCCTTTTAAAGATATTGTCGTTGAACTCAGAGCTTCTCCTTAAATAGAGAAAGTGCCACTCTCCAAAAAATGCTCTTCAAAACACCAACAAAAAATTCTGCATTCAAATCATGAACAAAAAAGGCATGTTTGACTGAACCCGCTGCCCTTGGGGACTTAGTGTTCTTATGATAGCTGCCCTGACTGTTCTCTTTGTCTTGACGGTGAATGGGTGCCACCAAATTGACGAGGGTGTCTGTTTCCCTGTTATATAATAGCACCCAACCTGCAATAAGAAGCTGTCTATACTTTTTGTGATATACTTCCTCCAGTAATGATAAAAATGCAGGACAAAGGATGAGATAAAATCTAATTTACAGAATGAAATCAAGTCTTAGGTTCTAATGTTTATGCTTGCTGAAATAGGGTCACGCAGATTTATCTTAATGATATGATTTTATTTTTTTAAAATGAACTGAAGACATTTGGATATGTTGATATAGGTATATAACTTAAGTTATTTAGTTAAAGCCCAAAAATGCAATTTTGGAAAGTCTACGCCCCTCGCAGTCCGATTGAGTTGAAATTGGACACACCAGCTCCAGCTCAATGTGCTCTACAATATGAAAGAACATTTCTGCCTGTGAAGGGAGAAAGAGATTCTGTAAATCATTATAATGAGAAACTTTCTCAAAATATTGACTTAGTATCTCAAAATAATGAGAAACTTTCTCAATATTTTGAATTAACATATCCAAATAATGACTTAGTATCACAAAGTCATTATTTTGATATACTTTTGGATACTGATTAAGTTTTGCTCCCAGCTATCATTCATAACACTTCAGATACTTTTTAATACAAATTAAAGCCAGTTATTCAGTTTAAAATATTCCAATTGTTCTCGTTATAATATATATATATATATACATATATATATATATATATATATTAATGAATGATGTGCAGAGTTTGACACTAGAATCATCTGCTGAAAGTGGAAAGTTTCTCTGTGCTCACTGAAAATCTGAGTTTAAGGGGTGGGGTCTACCAGCATGATTTGTGACATCACAAATAGTTTGGAAGTCATACCTGACCAGCATGCAACTTTTACAAGTGAAAAACACTGAAGCCACCAGTGCACATACACTGAGAATGGACTTTACAGTGAAGCAGGAAACACAATTTGAATAATAATAATAATAATACATTTTATTTGTAAAGCGCTTTTCTAGATACTCAAAGACACTTTACATAAAAATATAAAAACAGCAAAACAACATCAAATAGTAAAACACTTAAAACAATTTAAACATTAAAAGCAATTTTAAAAAGGTGAGTTTTTGTCAGAGACTTAAATAAATAGTATATTCATAGCTTCTGGAATTGTTAACCAGGTAGAAGGACTAGATGCCCTTTTAAGGATTTTAATGTGGAAATTATACTTTTTGGTGTAAAAACATATCAGACACGCATTATTGTTTCAAGCAGACTTGTACATATCATAACACATGTCTGGAGGAGATCTTTAGATACAAATTCACATGGACAAAGGCAGTCCTAAGTTGCAGTAATACAACATATCCACTTGGGGTCACCATGACTGTTATTATGAGTGATGTTATAGGACACTTTCTATACTCAGGGTTAGCGGTGAAAGGAGTTCCCTCTTTTGGACCAGCAGGTGATTTTCTTTTATATGTCATGAAGTGTCAATCATTAACATTATGAAGACATAACTAAAATTCTGGACGTTTATGGTGGTAGATTGGGTTTAAATGCTGATTGAATATGTTTATTGCTTTAAAATCTTGATGAAGTCAAGGCTGTATTCAGACCACAACAGGCAGTCCTACTATTCATTTAAGTGTGGTAAGTCCGTAAAGATAAGTGGAAGACTACACTACAGAATTTTAAAGTAATATTAGCAGGAGTCTAGTTTAAAAGGTAGAGACCACCACCACAAAAAAAGTATTTTACATACAAACAATTACATGAGATCGAACCAAAAAGACCAAAATAAGGGTCAAGATGAAAATAGTGTCTGACATTATGTACAAAGCTATTCAATTTTTCAAAAACTTCCAGCAGTGACGACATACACAGGAAACAATGGGTAATGCACACGTATGACAGATTAGGTCTGCTGTATGCCCTATGCTCTAGTTTTGCAGCCGTGTTAATGTCATCACCCAGAAATGTGACACGGGAGGAAGTGGAACCAGTCAGGAATTTTTTTCACCTTTGATTGTCACTCATCATAGTCAGTACTGTGTCATTACTCACCCAAACCATGCTGCCTGTTGCTTGGAGCCTTTCATTTAGCAGCACAAATACTACAAAGCTGAATGACACAGTTGTACCTAATGGTTTAGAGAAAGTGGTGTACCTGTTTATTGACCTGTAAATAAGGGTTGCCACTATCTGTCCTCAGTTTAAGTTATAGTAAACATAACTTATGTTTTACCAATATAAGAACATCAGACATCCACCAGCATTTTACTGTCAATTCAACCTTTTTTTGGATTACCATGAAGATAATTGTTTTGTGTATTTCTGTGTTAAAAATCTGTGTTGTATCTGTACTTAAACTATAGTTACAGATTACTGATGGTGAGGAATTGTCCTTTTTGGGGTTAAAGATTCCCTGTGGCCCTCAGGTAATGTAAGAGAGAGCTCTAAAAGCAGCAGCTGGACAGTTTACTACTTTACAGGTAGATGATTAATGGCCACACAAGCATCACGTTGTATCACGTTATGCTGCAGGCTCAATACAAGTCCTCCATTCTCTCTGTAATCATTATGGGTGAAGGACAGTCACCAGGACAGCATCACCCACAAGATTGGAGTCTCAGTCCAGCTTACTTCAACAGGCTGCGAGTGTGGAGCTAAATAACCAGCATCAGATCCCTTTTTTAACATTTTAAAACGTGTTACATAAACTGACACATACCATAACACAGGTACGGTTTATGCAGTGTTTGTAAAACATGCTTGCTGTTGTTTGACAGACGTGCGAGCAGACTTTATCTTTAGTGGGGATCTGATTCTGTCATTCATTGATTTGAAGCCCGAAAAGAAGAGAATGATAACAGGGTTGTGCAAATGATGTCCCTTTTTGTTTCCTTATGGTGTAAAAGGCGAAGACTTTAAATATTAATATAAATAGGGATATTATTTTAAGTGGTTTGGGTACTTATGTACTTCTTTGATGCTTATATGATTCTCTGGATTCCCTTCTCTTTTTATCAAACTTCAAAATGGAAATAATTCTTGGACTTTGACCTTGACCTTTCGTGTGTCATCCGTCTCATAAATGTAAATGTGAAATAATAAACCCTGATAATATAAAATGGACAACCCTGAGAGTATAACATTGTATGCCAGAGTTTAGATAGATGCACTCCCATCAGAGGATAACTAACTAACTGATGCTTTTATGGGTCTGCAACCAGTTGCATCGGTCGTCAAATAACAAAGATGAGTCCGCAAGAAAGTAAGTAAGTAAGGCACTGACTGATTTTGGGATTGTGTGGCATTTGATACAGTCAGATGATTACGTCCATATTAGGCGACCGATTCAAAGCCGCAGCCGAGATGACTCCACCTTCTTCCAGCTCTAGGGTTGGGTCAGACTGAACATTTAAGCGGAAAGGAAGAGGAAGCAGAGCTAACTTTGACACGAGCCTGGCGACATTATCATCCTGCGTCTGTACAGTCTCTGCAGGTTTGTATCCGCTCTAATGCGAACCCGTGTTCATACTGTCTAACAAGTTAGCCATAATGTTGACTCCGTTGAGCTTTAAGTTCATTTCAGGTGTGTTTATATATATATTTTTTTTTTTTGGGGTGGTAGGGGTGTCGGGGTCACGCGGTCACGCGCGCTGTCTATTGCGCTGCGTCGTATTCAAGTTATTTTCTTTCAGGTGGTTTTAATTTGTTGTTTGTCTTTAAAACATGAATATCTTAGAGGTAGACTAAAAACACAGACTTTTTGCTATACATTCTTCTTTTTTTTTTCTTTTGCAAATGAGTCAGGCCTCGTGCCCGGTGTTGTGCCAAAATGTGTGTCCATTGAAAACGTGTGGCTGACGGTTCAGTATTCATACAGATGAGCTCAGTTCTTTGAGCTATTGATGGTGTCGTCCTGTATCTGCCCCCTGCTTCTCATAATATGCACCTGTGCTGCGGACAAAGAGCTCATTGACAGCAGGGCTTCCTCCGCACAGTGGCTGTTGTTACTCCGCACTTTGAAGGCTAATGGTAACGTTGACGGTCATCCTTTTTTGTTGGCTATAAGCTATCACAGTACACAGTGAGTGTGTGCGTCTTATAGCAGAGGCAGTTTCATTCCAGTTGAAGAAAAAAAAAAAAACTTCACCTGTCGGCCAAATAGTATAACTGTTCCTAACGGTTCACAGTGTGTTCAGAGCTCTTGGGAAAGCAAATTGGAAAATGGGTCTAGTTCCTCAAACAGACTTTGCTGGGTGTTGTGGCGACACCTAAGGTTTTTTCCTCCCCCCCAAATGAGGGGCCTAAGGTCAGAGGGTGTGGTACGCTGTGCAGATGGTAAAGCCCCCTCCTGAGACAAATTGTGATTTTAGGCTGTGTAACTGTGTAACTTGTGTATTTACTAGGCTACGATGCATGTGGTTGGTCTGTGTCAGAATCTGTCAAGCAAAAAATGGTAATAAAGTGAAGATGTTTACTAAAAATATTAC